GGGACTTTGTTGCCTTCCAGCACCTTTAGGAAGGCATTGACTGTTCTTCCAACTTTTGTATAAATGCAGAGGCATAAGCATGACCCTGTCTTATTCCTACTCTGTTGCAGAGGTTACCCCACCCAGTGGGTAGGGGTGCTGGGCTCTCAGATGCAGTTTCCTGTGAGGCCAAATCTCACACGTGTTTGCAGCAGCATTACTGTGTAAGGGCTAGTCACACACACAGTCTGGCCCATATAATCCATTAACCCAGCCAGAGATCAATTCCTGGGAGAAGTCTATCCCAGTTTTTAAGAATGACTTTATCACCGGCATTGTAAATCTAGCAATAAACTGTTGCGAAACTCTATCCTCCCTCACATTTAAAAGACCTCTGCAGAAAATACATCTTGGGGGATAGGGAGCCACAGGGACATCTATCTCCAAATATTGTAAAGAGAAGCTTTTCTACCTGGGACTAAGTACACATTTTTGTATTTCGGACTATTTATGTAAGTAGAACATTTTTAGAATGTTATTTTTACCATTATTTGGATAAACCTTAGCTTTGTACGGTCACTTCCAAAAACATAGGCAGGAATATCTTTGTCATAGTTACATATTATTGTCAGGCATACATATTTATAACTCTCCATTTCCTTGTATGCTTCACACAAATAGATGCTCAGTGCTTGTCATGTTACATGTCTTTCAGATAGCAAGAACAAAAGAAAACCAGCAAAGAAACAATACAAAAAAAAAATTTTTTTAAATCTAAGCTCAAAATATAAAATATAAATTAATGTTCAGGCATTTACTGGTAACAACCACAAAGTTGAAGGCAGTGAGACTAAGCTGTGTTTTGCTTTCCTCATGCTTATGAATACAGTATGATAGGTGCCATGTGAATGGGGGGAAAATTATTTAAATTTAACATTATTCTTTCAGTAAGTGTATTTTGTATTGATAGAATAATTAAAAAAACAGTCAGTTTCACCTTTATAATGAAATTCTAGTGTGCAAAAAATCTAGTGAGAGGCTAACCTCCATTTCTTCGCTCCAGTCACATGAACCCGGCCAGGGTAGCAAGCAGTTATATATACTCTGTCATATGGCACAAGGGTCAGTATCTACTAATTCCAGTGGCTACTGTTACAATATTCAACCACCAAAAGTTTCAGATCAGTAGTTGAAAGTCTGAGACATTTATGAGTGAGAACAGAGGCTCCTAATTTAAAACGTGTGTGACCTTAATATAGCATTTGGGGGTTCAGAATGTTCTTACGTACTTTGCCTAATTCCACAGTTTTACAATACCCCCTTACTTCCAGTATGGATTGATTTACCTTATCTGTAAATTATGAAGAATAGCTCTCTGATGAAAGCAAATTTCCATGACTATTTGAAGCAGTAACAGGCCAAATAGTTTTCCTTAATGCAAAAGCAGAATAAAAAGAACCTGTGTCTACCCCTTAATTCCAGCCATGAGTTAGCATTTTTCACAGATGTGTATATTTCTCATAAAGTACTATAAATCAGAATGATTCTGTACTTGTCAATGATAGCTCTGTTCATGTAAAATAATCTTATAACAGGACACCAGAATAATCTATCTTAATCAAGGACAGATTTATATCCATACGGTCCAGTTATTCACAGACTGTAACAAAACATATAAAAATGTAGATCTGACATCGCTGTAAGTCTTGCATACACAATTGCTTTTTTCATGTGTGGTATAAGAATGAAAAACTACCACCTACTCCTGCTCCCACTGAAACCAGGGACACATTTCTATCTACATCACTCACAGCTGGATGACAGATCAAAACTTGGTGTCCAGCTTTGAAAAACTACTTAAAAACAGGTATCATTTGTATTTGGCTAACTCTGATTTTTCCACAACTCATTGGAAATATCACTTTTTTCATAATTAGCCCAAAGAATTAAAACAAAACTCAGAAAAGTACGGACATGCACAGTATTTTCCATAATTTCCATAATTCCATCCATAAGTTTTTCCATAATTACAGCTCAGAGTACAAGAATCCAACTCAGAAACCTGGCACATCTAACAATTTTCATTAGGAAATTACTTTATAAATGGCAGTATGACATAGAAATGGAAGACCTGTACCCTGTGACATATCTCTGGTGGGAATTTGTATGTTACCAATAAAAGCAATATTTGGAGCAAGATCTTTATTTAATCATGTGTACCCTTTCTGAAGCCAAAACTCAGGGCACCTACAGTAATATAAGTACAAAACTTGTAATCAAATATAACGAAACCTTCAGCCCTTATACAGCCAAAAGATCCATTATTTACATTATGATTTTGCCTAAGGGTCTCACTCATACTATTTCAGCAATATTAATAAATGAACTGACAATGAAATCATTAAAGAAACAAAGTAACATATTTTTAATAGCATGCAAAAGTTCAATGGGGATAACTTACCCAGTCATGGTTTTGTATCAATGTCAAAGAAATTTTAGAATAGTAAGGTAAATTCAAGAACAATTTGAATTCTTTATACAGACTCTGCTTCAGACAAAAGCAGTTACATTTTATTCGAAGTATAAAAACAACAATAAACTTCTAGTGAGACAGAACAGTGCAATAACTCAGGAAAATTAATGCCATGAGCAGTTTTTCCTCTCTTTTTGACTGCAGTGGTCAACAAAATAAATTAAGAACAACAAAAGAGAATCAATGCAAAGGCCTAGAGAGTAACTCCAATTTTTTAAACTATTAATTTTGTGCTTGGTGTCAAAGGCAATGACAGTAAGCGCTGAATAAACACAAAACTTCTTTTGGATTGCTATTTTTTTTTTTTTCCCAAGATGAAAAATGCACTGGCTTGGAATGTTTATTTGAACCATCTGTATGGTATTACTATAGAGAGTCAGGAAGTTAATATATTCTTTGGAAGTCCAGTATCATAACAAGTTATTCTAGCAGGCACAGTGAATGAACAGAGGATGTGCAATGTGATTTGGCAGCCTAAGCACAGACTCTGCATACACTCCTAAATTCAGGCTATGCAGCAGCTGTGGTTTACCAGCTCTGGGTCTTGCCCATAATTTGAAGACTGAATGGTAGAAGGAGGGCAGAATCAGAATTAAGTCAACATTTCCTACCACATGTGATGGGACCGATCCTCCCTGAAATAACAGAATGAAATCTGACTCAGATCTCTCACACAACAGGATCAGGGTCATCACGTACTGCACCTCTTTTTATTCATTATCGTATTTTATTCCAGGCATTTGTCTCCTGTGATTTATGCAACCAAGTCCTCATTGCTATAGTGTTAATGCTACAGCAACATGTTGTGATATGAGGCACTAGAAAATCAAAGGAATCCCTGTTTTGACAGAAATTTCTATGGCAAGCTGATGTGCATGGTTTATAGGGAAGGAAAGGCATATATTCAGATACTCCAGTTAAGAACAGCCATGAAATCTGTTTATGTTCTGAATCTCTCTCGTAGAAATATTAATGGTGAAATCTTTCATACCACTACAATCAATCTCTCTGTAACTATTTAATAGCTATGCTGAGGCTAATCAAATTATTCTCATAATCAGGGATAAAATACAACACATTTTGCAATCTATCAAGTAGAAGATCACTTACTTGTACTATTAGTGTCTAAAGATTGTAGAGGTTGACTCTGGCTGCATGCCAGGTGCCCATCAAAGCTGCTCTATCACTGCCCCTCAAATGGACAGGGGAGAAAAAATGTAACAAAAAGCGTATGGGTTGAGATAAGGACAGGGAGAGATCACTCGACGATTACCATCATGGGCAAAACAGACCTGTGGTAAAAGTACAATTTAATTTATTACTGATCAGAGTGGAGCATGAGCAGCAAACCCAAATTCGCTTCCCAGGGAAGGAACACCTTCCCCCCACCATTCCCTTCTTACTGGGCTCAACTTTAGTCCTGAATTCTCTGCCTCCTCCCCCACAGTTATGCAGGGGGATGGGGAATGAGTCTGTGGTCAGCTCATCACACGTTGCCTCTGCCTCCCACGTGGGTCCCTTCCATGGGTGCAGTCCCTCAGGAACAGGCTGCTCCAACGTCCCTGTGAGGTCACAAGTCCTGCAGCAAACCTGCTCCAGCGTGGGCTCCTCTCACTCCACAGGGTCACAAGTCCTGACAGCAAACCTGCTCCAGTGCGGGCTTCTCATGCGGTCAGAGCCTCCTTTGGCACTCACCTGCTCCACCGTGGGGTCCTTCCTGGGCTGCAGGTGGAAATCTGCTCCACTGTGGACCTCCATGGCTGCAGGTGGAGATGTGCTCCACCATGGATCTCCATGGGCTGCAGGGGCACAGCCTGCCTCACCATGGTTTGCGTCACGCACTGCAGGGGACTCTGCTCCAGCACCTGGAGCACCTCCTCCCCTCCTTCTGCACTGACCTTGGTGCCTGCAGAGCTGTTCCTCTCCCATGTTCTCACTCCTCTCTGGCTGCAGTTGTGCATTTTCTTTTTCCACATTCTTAACTATGTTGTCCCAGAGGCACGACCACCATCACTGATGGGATCAGCCTTGGCCAGCGGCAGGTGCGCCTTGGAGCTGGCTGGTGTTGACTCCATCAGACATAGGGAAAGATTCTGGCAGCTTCTCACAGAAGCCACCCCTGTAGCCCCCCTGCTACCAAAACCTTGCCATGCAAACCCAATACAAAGATGAACTGCTATGCTTCATTAATAATGATTTTATGATACAAAGTTTAAAGCAAAGTTAGTGCTGAATTTCAAGGTTAGATGTATATTTTTATGGCAAGACAATGCAGGAATCTAAGTTACAACACTGCAGCATCTAGAAATAATAGGGTAAGTTAAAGTTACCATAACAGATGTTTTGATTTTAGGTCTGCATTCCCTTACTCTGTCTAATGTTGTCACAATCTTCTGGTTGCCTAAATATGGATTATTGTTATCAGCCATATCCCATCATCCTTAGGCAACTTTCCAAAAGAGGGAAAGGGGAATTTTCTTTGAGTGACAGATGCAGAATTCACTGGGTTTTGTCCTCTGTCTGCCATGTAAAATACAATGTGGAACAGTTCTGAAACACCTCTTCTTTGCAGACAAGGACAAAAGCCTCTTCCACAAAATACCACATTTTGCCTTTGTAGAGCAATATATATGTTAAAAATCAAGTGAAATCTTAAAATGTGTAAAGAATCTGAATTCATTTATGCTTAAAAATGGTTTATGCTTTAGGCTACTGTATCTTCACTTTCTTCAAGTTACACAAACAATTTCTTTTCCAAAATATGAACACAGACATGTCATAGTTTAGTTAATTTGTCTATCCATTAAATATAAAATAAAATACAAAACTGTTACTCACTGATGTAATTGGCACAGCTACATAGATCCCAACAGGGCTTTACCAGCTTGTGCTAGGGGATACTTTGGCCCATAATATTAGTCTAATATGTTGTCCTATAAATGACAGATTAAGTGAACAAGTACTCTGGTATGTGATTACATTTTAAAATAAATATTCTCTGCCTGATGTAAAAACTCTTCTTAAGTTAATTAGGTATTTTACTATACTCACAGGCTATTTAAAAACTGGACTAGATAACACTCTTTTGGGTCGAGAACGGGATATTCTAAATTCTGCCTTTTTTTTTCCTCAGAGAGTTGTAATGTAATGCTACTATATTAATGTAAATAATTAGATTACTGCCATAAAATGCATGCTTGACTTCATTTCCATATGCAAAATCCTTCTGTCATTTTTCCAGTAGAATGTGGCATGGTGATCCTAGTGGATGATGGGAAGCACAAAGCAGGACTCTACCTTCAAGCCTGAGAGGCATGATTTGCCCAGCCTCATCAGTTCCATAACTTCCATGGTGTGAACAGCTTTCAGCATTGGGAAGTTCCAACACAAGCAAAACTAAGAGGTCATTCAACCCTGGCATTCTTCCTTTCTCCCTCCCTGTTCTTCATAGCCACAGTCAAGAAATCTTGGACTTTCTGACAAATCATGGTCTCCAGATTTACTCTTCCCCAAGAGACTCAGGTGAAATCAATCCTAATATTAACTGAGTGGTAGGCTTTGCACTTAAAAGTCTGGACACTGTCTGGGAAATGAAGGTCCCAGTGAAACATGGCAGAGGGAAAAGGTTTCTGACATTTTCCCCTGACACTGGGAGAACTCCACAGATGAATGTGCTCTTTTCAGTCTCATCATACAGCATGTGAGAGAAAAATCCTACCATAGAACCTCCTAGGGTTTCCAGCGTCTCAGATGCGCTTTGCCTCAGAGAGGATGCCTTGACAGTAACAGATGTGATAACAAATGACCTTTAGAATTGCACCCTGAGAGCTGTTGACCGTTTCCTGAGAGCTGTTCATCCTCCCGAACTCCTCGCTTTGGAAATCTTGAGATCCTGGCATACAACTAAAAAGGGTCAACAAGAGGAGAAAGAAAAATAGAGCATGAGACTTAGAACCAAAAGAAAGCAAGAGCAAAAGCAGAGTACATACATATTTTAAGAATCTTCCTTTGCTTAAAAGATGAAAATCATAAATCTAAATGCGATACCAAAACTCAGTATTATCATCATCCCCAAAGCAAGGGACAAAATCTGAGATGAGCACAAGCCTATCAAATGATAATACAATAAAAATTGTGTTCAAAGCTATTTACTTTTTATTCCAATTCAAATTACACCAAATACATAATGTTAAATAAGGTAATATTTGTATATTCCCATGAGTGTGCTCAGATTTGCTGTGCAGCATACAAAACCATCTCTCCCAACAACAGCTTACCAGGTAAGTGGTGCACACAGGCAACAGTGCACCTGGGGAAGGACAGAGGAGAAAGAGGTTGTGCATGCAGGCTGTGTCCACAAGTGTGACAGAGGAAAACAGGAGATAGTTTATTTGTTCCTCTTGGACTTCACCAGCTACAGTGAAAACTTTCTCAGTACTGACTTCTTGTAAAGCTCCTTGAAATCAGGACTATGACCATATCCCATGACTAGCATGAGGCAAAAGTCACATTTCACCCATATGCTCACTTAGGTTTATGCTGATAACTTCAGGCTGTCTCAACTAAGTCTTCTTGGGGAAAAAAAAAAGAAAAAAAAAGGCTGGAAGAATTATAACTTGCTCACTGGCATTCCATTTTTAAGGCAAGTTTGGGAAAAAAATGGCCCCGCTAATACAATGATATGCTACGTCTCATTCATTGCCTGTGAGAGGCAGAGAAGAGAAACAGGGGAGGGGGAAGCAGGAGACAGAATGAGACAGAGAGCAGAAGCAGAAACAAAGATGCAGTATGTGGAGACAAAATGAAAGGAGGGATGACACCGGGGAACGTGCAAAAGATGCCTCTTCCTACATTTGTTGAAACACACAAGCTGTAAAGCTGAAATGAAAAGCACAGGCAGGCAGGCTTATTCAGCTTTATCCTTTCAAGCAGTGAAATAATTTTCTCTGATTTTTTCCTTGTCAGTTCCTGTCCTGTCCTTGCCATGCCTTCTCCTTTCTCACTTGTCTTTTCTGCTTTTTCTTTTCAATGCCATCTTGCTTTGTTCCTTTTTCTTTGCTTCTGCCCGTTTCTTTCTTCCTCTTCCTTTCTTCTCTTGCTCTCCCTTGTCTTTTTTGTCTTGCTCTTGCTCTCCCATGTGTTCCCTGAGCACATGAAGAACATGAGCACAAATAGTGGAAAAGCATTTTTTTTTCCTGATTCTCCTTTTCTATCCCCATGTGGTTTTGACTGCTGTAGCTCTGTTAGGTTTTAAACACACATGGGAAAGCCACTTGTACTCCCATGTGTTTTAGAACTATCTACAGTAGCACACTGCAGGAAAAACATGTGGGAAGGGAATGTGTCAGAAAAGTTTCTTGTACTCCCTCCAACACGTGGGCCACATTTAACAAGGTCAAGGGACAAGTGTGGCTCACAGGCATCAGTTTGACCAGTACTATAAAAAGGATCATGCATTCTTCTTTGTTTTACCTGCACAGACTCTACAGTTAATCACTCAGCTGAACACAGCTTACAGAGTTTCAAATGGTCTACTTTTATTTTTAGGCTAAATGATCAGCTGAATGTATTTTAGGAACAGATTATCATATATTTTTTTTCCTGATTTGACAATTTCAAGATGATGAAGAATATAAATGGAACAAAGAAACCCTTTTCTTTTTCCTTCTTTGTCTTCCCTCCTGCATGAGAGCAACACGCATGCTGTGCCTGAGCAGACAAGGGTATGCCTGTTAAGCTGGCTGGCTGTTCCTAAGGCGGATACTTTCTGTCGAGGGTTCCTTCTGAACTTTCCTGCCACAAGACCAAATTCACACAAATATCTGTGAACTGTTGGTTCATGTTATGCACATTTTGACACCTTTCAGCTGGCTTTCACAGATTTTCAAAGCACCTGTTCCAATACAACCTGCCTTTTTGGCAGCAACCAGTACCGGTAAGCCCCTGATTTTCTTTCCTCCTCCACTCAACCATTTCTAACAATGTACATGTCAAAAAGTATAATTAAATGAGAGGAGGCAAATGCTGTCCAGCTCTCCTAGATATTGGACCACACTTCCTGCAGGAAAAGAATTGTTTGCATTGTTACAGAGACTAACTAAACCGTTCCTGCCTGTCACTCATTTCTTAGGGTCCAGCTCACTTGCAAGTGGGCTGTTTGCCATGTGAACAGATGGGCACAGGGCTCGACAGCCAAGAAATGATGGATCAAATTTTGAAATTTGTTGCTCACTCTCCACTCTAGTAGTTCCTAATTGGCCTCAATGGAACTTTTTCACTGTAAAAAATGGTATAATGGCAACAACATTTGACTGAACAAATACACATCCTGTGTAGGTGCTGCAAGCAGGCTTCCTGGCTGACAAAACTAGAATGATGCCATCAGTGAATGTCTGTTAGAGGCTGATGTAGCTCTATGAGGTTATCATGTTCCTATGTGAACATACAGTGGAGCTGAAGTGGAACATCTAACGCTTATTTTGAACGGTGGTCTAAGATAAAGGCTTTTATCTGAAAAGATCCTTTTAATAAATATAACCATTTGAACAAAGAATGGGTTCATTTATGTTTTATAATAAGCAGAAAGCAAGAGGCAGTAAGAATTTTTTTCAATGATGCACTGATAATAATGCATTGTCTAAAATTGTTATCAACTGTATATCAAATACTATTCAGGATTTAACATAGCAAATTGACCAAAATTAAATTATATTTCACTGCTACTAATAGATAAAGAAAATTCTTTTAGAAGAACATTGTTTCCCAGCTTTGCAAGTGCTGCTAGGGCAGTATACAGTCACCTCAAATTCCTGTGTACTTAGTGAAAATATTAGATGTGAAACCAATGTAGACTTACCTTTGCATCTCATTGCTGCATCTGCAATCTGAAATATTACCAAAGAAGTGTTCGCTTTTCCTGTGAATTACAGACTTCTTACACGTCTTCATATTGGTTGTACATGGCTTTCAATTTTAACTCTTTCTGTTATCATTTTGACTAGATCAACATTGTCTTACATTACCAGCAGCTGCAAGCCAGAACCTTAACATTTTTTTTTATACTGTAATGGGAATTTCTTGCCTTGTGCCTCTTTCTTGGATACATTTTGGCAGGTTACTGATGCATTTGTAAAAAATAGTTTAAGAGTTCTATGAGTGCACGGTAAGAAGTGATGATGATCATAATTAGTGTTACCTTCAGAAATACACTGTAGTTTTTATAAAATTGCACATACAGTACAAGTAGCTAAAATATTTTTATGAACATCTACATAACACATTTCATGAATTATCTTAGGGTAAAAAAAAAAAAGGCAATTTCCTAGGGTCTCTTCCAATTTTTCTGTACTACCTCAGGCCCAGTGCTATTTGGTATGGGTAGATTAGGGTAGCTGATGATTCCCATTGATTTAAATGCCGTGCTAGGAAGCCTAAATCCCCAAGAGCAATAAAATCTCCCCTATCACTATCCTACTGCTTATTGACCTAATTCACTAACCAACCATCAGGGTTTTCTCTCACAACAAATAAATCTTGCATGAAACAGACAGTACATGGACGTAATTTTCAGTCATCTTGCCAATAAAATAATCTTAGGGTATCTAAAATTTGTCTTAATTTTCTCAGATTGACCATAATGTCATTTGCCATTTAAAATGTGCAGAAACCACAACTGTATTTTTAATATCAAAACTATTTCTACAATCTGAAATAAATTTGTCATGTAAATGATGCAGACAATTTGGCACATGTAAAATCACAGCAATGAGTGCTCTGGTTTGTCTGTAAGATATTGCTGAAATGGCTGCTAAACAGGTCTAATGGTTGCAGCATTATAAACACCAGTTGCAATATTACTTAGACCCAGCCTTTACTGCCCAAAATTCTGACATTAGTAAACTTCCTCTTTCATTAATTGAGCGAAACAAATGAAGTCAGGGTTTGTTATGTTATTCAGAGTCTCACAGTCTTTTCAACAAAAACTTTTAGATTGGATTCTGCAGATGCCTGCATCTGTATTCACCCTTGGTGATTTTACTGAGTTGAGTAACACGTTTCTTATGTACAAGCCAGGGGTCTAACCTAGTGGCTCTTTAAAATGTGACCATCACTAGATATGATATAGATTCACCAAAAGAGAACACAGAAAAGATACTATATTAAAAAAAATCCACAACTCCATACGCTTTGATATGCAGATCTACTTCAGAGAAGAAGCCTAATTCTGCTCCTAGTAATGTTAATTAGAGCACGGTAAGGTCCTAAATTACTAGTCTTCTCATCAATATCAAGTTAAGCTTTTATCAATGTAATTTGAGCGGTATTAAAAGTGATAAATGCTAATTTATAATTGTTGATATTATCTAAGCAAGATCATTTGCAACCATACGTAACTGTGCCAGATTTTTATCACATTATAAAGGTTAACATAAGTGTTACAAGAAACATCACTGAGCTACGCACACTACGTTTGCTTTTGGTTAGATAAGTATGCTTTGTAGTAGTTGATATTCCCTCTAGATAATGGATAGGGGCCAGATTCTCTGCTGACACAAAGCAATATAAGTAAGTTGAAGGCAGATATGCTGATTTACACTAGCTCCAGATCTCACTCTAATATCTTTAGATGCAATAAACCATCTTAAATAAGTCTGTTTCCTAACTATTACTCAGCCATTCCTCACTATTGCCAAAAGGGAACTGTGAATGCCAAGGTCTGCAGGATTTTATTTATCAAAGCTTCTTTTAAGGCATCTATCATTTTGGCATGCAAGCTTTGCTTTATGATCAGAATCAAACGTGGTCATGAAACAGCAGGATTAATTCAAGAAAAAAAAAAAAGCCACATAGCGCTTGTTCTTCTTGTCATATCTGTTCCAACTAGTTTGTTTTTTTTTAAATGAAAACTGTATATTAAGTTAGAAGATTTAAGTACTTTTGCTGCTTGGTACTGCTGAACTGTATAAAGAGAATTAAAAATGTTATACCATACATCTGTTTAAATAACTGGATTACTGATAACTTGTTGTTTGTATTTCTGTATTTATCTACCTTGATAAGAAGCTAAGTGCAGAGCTAAGAAAATCACATTTCTATTTTGTTATATAAATATAAAATTATTTTACCAATTAGGTGCTACGCTAAATAACATTTTAGTGTCTGGACATTAAACATTTGGAGATAAATAGTATGTAAAACATGCAGTCTAATTTTCCTTTGAGGTTTTTCTATTTTTGCTTACATTTGCTGAATGTCAGCTTATAATAATTACTGCTCTATACACATCTGTATCACTAATGTGACAGACTGTGAATGCTTCTTGACAATCGAGCATAATATCCTCCTTACAGGCTTCCACCAGCAAGGCTACAATCTTAACCATAGAGTATATAAACATGTAAAAAGACTTGCTTAAAACATTGACAAATTTTAAATGTGCTTGGTTTACTGTTTAAAAGCAAATGCAGATTAGACATTTGGCAATAAATCTTTAAAAAATAAGCCTAAATGTACAGATCATTTGAAAAGTAGCAACAATTTCCATTTAAAAGCTACTACCAATATATGCTGCTAGCAAAGACAGAATACCAATATAATAGCTAAAAAGCATTTTGTAGCTTTTTTTTCTTGTGAGCATAACAAACTACGTTCATCTGCGACACAGGACTAGACATGGAATTACAGTAGTAGTTCCACTAAAGCAGCAGGAATCTTTGTATTTCTCCATCCGACATTAAAGGCGGCATCTTTTATGTTGTAGGCCTCATTTGTAAATCTCCACAAATTCAGTTAAAGACACTAGAGTTTTATCTTAAGAAGGATAAGAAGGAGCCAACACATTATAAAATGCATAGTTTTATTTCCCTGGGAGAGAAAGAGAATGACTAGAAATTTACTAGATAGAGGACTTTCACTTAATTAGAAGGACTTTAACATATGTTAAAATACACAGAAAGACAAAGTTTCTACCCTGGAGGATGTACTATCCAGTACATCGCAGTGACACTTGCTCACATGCTGAAACCCTTACATCCTTTTATTGCTCAGGTTTTTGTGTGATCTTGGACATAAAGTTTACAAATTCTCCTGTGATTTTTTTTTTTTTTTTATTTGACAAGATAAAATAAAATATAAATTTAAATTTTTTTTTTAGAGTTCTGAGCTGACTTATGTTTTAGCAACATAAGGGGGAAAATGAACTTTTATAATATGCAAGATTTTCCTGAATTGATAGAGAAGCAAAGATGTTTTAAACAAGTGGTACTTCTCTTGTTGTTCCTGAGTACTTAAATAAGGACTGAAATAGTAATAGCTTGAAAATGTATAATTTAAATGTGAAAGCTCTACATTTTTAATTTTTGTTTACAGCCTAAGAAGATGTAGCTTTTCTCATGTATGAGGGGAAAATTGGAACACTAAGTTTTGACAAATAGAAGCTAAAATCAAGTCTGAAGAAGGCTGACCAAAAGGTAAATATGTAAGTTCCTCTTTTTTAATAAGTTAATGTCACTTAATTCCAAAAATACTACCTAGTAGCAAAAATGTTTTTCAGGTTAAACAGAATAAAAGATATTCAATACCTGAACAAAAAATACATTCAGCTACTATAGGTTTTACCTTACTGAAATAAGCCAAGAGCATTCACATATTTAATTAAAAAGCTAATTCTCTTCATTGTTAATCAGAACTATCTGTGAACGAGGTATATTTTATTGAATAGTGCTTGTCTGTAACCAAACAATGCATTTATTGAAATTAATACATACCAAAAAAATCTGTAAGTATTTTTCAAAATATGTGACAACTACTGCACTCTTACCAGACAGGAGGACTGTCTACAGAAATATTTCCGAATAAATAATCTACATAATAGCTTGGTTTAAGGTGGTATTTTATTTACCGTATTCATGTATTTTTGTGCCTATGACATGAGAGAAATTTTCTTACCTGCTTCAAACATACATGCAGTAAAATATATTTTATGATAAAGAAGACCCTATTTGACTTAAAAGTTGTGGGGATGCTCCATTAATGTGTGTATGAATCTCCTGGAAGTCAGTAGTAATTCTGCAGAAAATTGATGCTAGAGTATCATCTCAAATCACTCACTTCAACCTCTGTGAAGAGCAATACATGGAAGAAAAATTGCTAATCTGAGACTTGTCAGAAATACTGATGCCATTCTTAGATTTTATGAATTAGTCCTCTGGACTCACTAAGTGATTCCCCTTCGTTTTGAACAGTTGCATTATTTTGTCTTGACTAACAAAACGCAAGCTGTAAAAAATACTAGCCTGCATGGAGCAAGGTAGTTTGTTTCCCTGATTAATTAATTAATATTCAAGTATTAATGCATTTCCTTCATCACTTCTTTATGCAATATACAGCTTAGCATATCTTGGAATGAACAGGGTTTTGAAATGTGCGTACACTATGCACAAGTAGTAAAATCTGAGAGTAACCTGACAGTCTGAATCCATGTTATGTCCTTCCTGGAGGGAAAATGAGAGAAAGAAAAAAAGTCAGGCTGAGAGGCTGGGTAAGGGAACAGAAAATACAAATTTTGTGATATAAACTAGTTCAACATACATAATCTTGCAATGAATCTTTAGCAGTTGTTTTGCCTTTAAAACAGCTAGATTTTAATTTATGGATTTCAATATGCTATAAAGAGTAAAGGGTGTTGAAGAATAAATCTCCATAACATGTGATCATGCTCTATGTGCACATTTCTAACTTTTTGGGGGTGACTATCCTTTTGCCTTAGTATTTTTACCTTTGTAATTCTACAGCTCAGAGCTTTGTCTTCTCCTCCATTTTATGCTTTTTCTTCTCCATTTTATGCTGCTTTTTCTTAGGTATGATGTCTACATTTGACAACCATACCAAAAGATAGAGAAAGCCTTATTTTGTCAACCCATCTTGCCATGCCTTCCTTGTTTCTGGCAAAATAAAATCAACCAGGGCCTCTGACAGCCAGAACCTTCAAGCTCAGAGATCACCAATTCAGTGGTATTAAGTTTTATGCTGAAGTCTCAGGCCAGTGTTACTACTTCAGATTGCACCTCAAAACTCTAAGCATTTGTTCTTCACAGTATCATACACAGTGTGTTAGAATTAAGGGCCTGATCCTGTGCACCAGCATGATTTTCCTTTTGACCTTGACTTGAGCAGAATTGAGACCTAGGTATACAAAAGCATATTTTTACAACACAGTGTCCAGACAAGCCATGATGCCACGAAATGGGGAAGGTAGAATCACCTGTCTGCTGTGCTCTGCATCTGGGCCAAGTGGGCAGCTGGGTGTGCGCAACAGAACTATATTAATATCAGAAAAAGTAAAAAAGAAAGAAAACACAACAGTGGGTGATCTCAAATATAGCATGATTCATATAAACATAAAATGTGATGAGGTGAGATGTGACAAAGTCTAATCTTACCCTTCCTGCTGCAACCCAAACTTGAACTGGCTTCCAAAGCCAGACTGAGCTCTTAGATGACTGATTGTAATTAGTGAGTGCTGTGGATACATATGCAAAAATTCCTAACAGCTTTTTGATTAAATCATCTACCACGCAATTGTCATGAATAGTTCAGGTGAAATGAAATGTGTGTTTGTTCAAAGCTCATTTCTAGGAAGGAGTGTGGTCCTCTGACAGCACCATCAACCTGCAAATGGATTGCAGCACAGGTCGGCACATGATTGAAAGATCAGGCTACACTCGCTATTTTACATGACTCTGGAATATGCTTTGTAAGTACGGCTATCTGCGAGCTATTTAAGTCAATTAACATTAAACAGTTACAGGGGGAAATGTTCTGTTTTCCTATTATTTGACATATTTGGCAATCATTTGCAAGGTCGGTTTGGCTTTGCACTTTCTGTTGTCTGATATGCGTCGGTAATGGGAAAAAATGGCACTATATAGATGTTATTTTAAAATCACGAATCTGGCAGAGGCCTTTAGCTTTTACTCATTTTTAATAGACTGAGCAGCTCTCAACATTGAATTCCCCTTTAAGAAATATACAGTAGAAGTGTTTGCTGAATAAAGGCCAGATTACATAGTAATGTTCTTGTCCATCCAAAATAGCCAAGTGCAAATAAAAAGGTGAGATGTAAAATATTTTGTATACTTCAGCTTCAAATGTTGTATACGTCATGACATAGTAAGGCCTTTACCTATGTTTTATTAGATCAGTCCTAACTTGGTCCTTAGCCGACATCTAAATATCATGTCATTACCTACAGATAACATTAACTTCTTTTGAGAACCATGACAATGTTTCAATATGTAAAAAAAACAAAATGCAAACACAACAAGTTAACATCTCACATTAGGAATTAACTTGCTTAAGGTGGAAATGTTTTTAGACAGCATTTGTAGGTCTTTGCTGTATCAGCGCAAAGGTGAAGGCTGTATTACCTGTCACTATTTTATGGATGTTAAAAATGTGGCAAGCCTTTACCAAAACACTCCAGCAATATTAGTTATGACATTACCTTGATTCTAAGCTCAAAATTCAGCTGCCCATAACTACAGGTAAAAGGTGATACTGTGGTTTCGTACACAGGTCTATAAAAATGAGGGGGGGACAGGACAGGGAAACACCTTGCAACAGGTAGACACGTCCAAAGCAAAATAACCCATGGCTAAAGGCATCGGATTCTATTCCTGACGTTTTCAACGGGTAGATGAAAATGTACAGCCTGAATTTGGGGATTTCAGAGCATTAAAGACGCGTTCCCCATATAAGCACTTCTGGGATTTAATGATAGAGAGGCACTTGAAAGATTTATACAGAAATAAACCCCTTAGAATGGGGGGGAGCCGGGGGGGGGGGGGGAAGCGGGAGGAGGCGCCGATCGTCGGGGGCCCCCCGACGATCGGCGCCTCCTCCCGCTTCCCCCCCCCCCCTCCCGCCTCCTTCAGAGGCGGCAGCGGCGACTCCGCCTCGTGGCGGCGATCAGCTGCGCGCGCGTCACGTGGGCGCGTGTCGAAGGTCACGGCGCCCACAATGGAGCTGTCGTCGTACGCGCAGGGAGGGTGGCGGCTGCTGGGCGACCCCCGGCGCTTCCCCCGCCGCTCTTACGCCGCTCTGCTCCGCGCCGCCTTCCGCAGCCTCCTCCTAGGGCACTCCCAGGAAGGGTTGGGTAAGGCGCGGGGAGACGCGGCGGTGGCGTGGCGGGCCGCGGAGCTGCGCGGAGCGCGCAAGGCAGCGCGCTGTGCTCCGCGGCATGCATACGCGTGTCTGTGCTGCGGTGTATCCCGTCGCTCGGCACATAAGCACGGGGGGGAGTCGCCCTTGAGCGGCTCCAGGGTGCCGCTGCGCGGGTGTCATCGCTAATGCGCGCACGCTTCGGTAAAGATTAAACCTGGCGACCTTAAATCTCCCGACGGGGAGGGGGGAAGTCCCGGACGGTGTCCCCCGCGTATTCGTGTCCGTGAAGCAGGGCATAGAGGTGGTTTTCCGCCGGCGCTCCGTTCCGCCCGTGTTTTTATTTCGCGTGTAGACCCTTCCTACGGCCACCCCGCCGTGGGGGTACGCGGTCGCGCAATTAATGTTGCGGTGTTAATGACATCGCGGCCGGAGGGAGGGATGTGCCGGTGCTGCCGGCGCCGGCGGGCAGTCCCCGTGCCCTGCCTGGCCGGGGTCTCCGACTCCGCTCCTCGCCTTTGGCGACAGGCTTCGGAGAGGATCTGTCTCAGGAGGGAGGAAATTGAGGTTTTCTCCTTTTTCTATCCTTTTTTTTAGCTCTTTTTTTTTTGTTTTGGTTTGGTTTGGTTTTTTGTTTGGTTTTTTTTAATGCAAAGTTGATACCGAGGCGGCGGGGCGTGCAGCGCCTGTCAGCCCTGCCTGGCACGGCTTGCACCCGCCAGTGCTTCAGCTCCTCTCTTCCTCCTCCTCGCACTTTGCCTACTTGCTCCGTCCTTTTGCTCTAAGCCCCCACATGTGTTCCATTTTAAAAGTTTTGTGGGAAAGGTACCGTTCAAAGGGCGAGCAGCAGCTCATGGTACCGTGTGCTGGGATTTCGCATGTAAGTGTGTCATCAGTAATTCATTTGCTTTAGACGATCCGGACCTGAAAGATATTGACCCCACGGTATTAAAACATTGCCATGCTGCGGCTGCCATGTGTATTCTGGAGGCAGGAAAGCAGAAAGCCGACATATCTGCTATAAGGTACTCATACTTCAAAGCTACCCCCTTTTTCTAGCGGTTGTTACTTTAAACTGTGCTGCTGAGCTAATGTTAACAGAAAACTAATAAATTCTTTTTCCCTCTAGCACATGTCTAGAAGACTGTAAACTGGATAAAGAGAGAATAGAACAGTTTTGCACCGAATATCAGGTTTTAAAACCAATTTTAACATGTTTATGTTTTCTTTCACTCATACGAATTTATTGAGCAATTTCTTATCTTTTTTTTTTTTTTTTTTCTTCCAGAAAAACAAGGATGCATTGGAAATCCTGTTGGGAAGGTAGGTCAGTCAGTCAGCACAGATACGTAGTTGCAATTACAGCTACTTTGAAACTGTCCTGGAAAACACCTATACACGCTTTAGGTGATTAAAGTCAGAAATACTGTTCCATTTAAAAAAAAAAAAAAAAGAAATTTCACATTTTTAACAAACTTTAGCAAAGAGCTCTTGAAACTTTTCCTCTTCTTTTCATAATTCTACTATTCAGAAAACTTTTTGAACTTCTCAAGAACTCTTACAAGGATGGTGAAAAAGTTCTTTGTTGATAGTTTGAGAAAGTGACATTCTCTTGTAGTGTAGGGAGCTTGTAACTGTTGTGTCTTTCAGCATAGGCAGATCTCCTCTCCATATAACTGATGTGTCTTGGCGCTTGGAATATCAGATCAAGGTAATTTGAACACATTGAGGGGTTTCTTTAGTCTGTTTCTGTGCTGTGACGTGACTTTTTCCTGTGTTCTTTGGCCTTAATTTAGAACAATCAACTTCATAAAACTTACCAGCCTTCCTACTTGGTGACCTTAAACGTAGAGGAGGTACTGTACCCCCAGCACCCTCAGGGGAAAAAATGCAGCTTCATTGTATTTTTTTTTAAACAGGCATTGTTGTTTGTTGATTTTATTTTTTTTTCTTCAGAACAGTGATTCAGGATCACACCCAGATGTTAGCTTTAGTTGCACGATGGAGCAGTTACAGGTACCTCTTTCTTTCATCATTGTTTCTATACTTGGCTTTAGTTGTGGATGTAAACGTTTTTAATAACTTGCTGGAGTGAAATATATTATTATTAAAAAAAATCTATATCCAGTACCAGGAGAGGAGAATCTTCTATTAAAATTACCCAAGTGTAGTTTTCCTGTCTTCTCAAATAAAGTTGCAGAGTAACTGATTCTAGTTGCATGGGGAGTGTTTTACATGTGTGCATAAATATCTTGTCTGTTTTCACAACTTATATGTTCTTTAAAGTTTTATATATATATGTTATATATACCATAATTTTTCTGAAACTGACTTCTCATGCTTTGGATAAATGATTAAAGAAGCTGGATTAGTGGTTTGAATGTGGCACAATTGAAAGTAGAGAACGAACTGAAGTCTCTTCACTGGTGTAAATGACATGTAAGAAATGTCCTGAAACAAATGTTGATCTTTGTTTAGCGATTTAAATGTGTAACTGAACAATGGAGGTATTGTAATGCTTGGAAGTGACCAAACTGTGGAGGGTTGGGAAGAGGGCTTGGCCAGGGGAAGAAAAAGTGAGATATTAAAACTTAAGGTTTACACCTCTACTTTTTCAATGCGTGTCTCAAAAGGTGTCCTTGTCTTCCTAATGGGTGTTTTTGGTTGGTTGCTGGCTTAGGAAAATCTGAGGTGATTTGGCTGGGGAACGGTCCTAATACAAAATTGCACTCAAAATATTTTCAGTGTTTTAGAGGTGTCTGTAGTACTTCAAAGCCCAAAGCAGAGTCAGCTCAGCCATCCTGACAGCATTAAGGAAATCTTTGTGTTGAGAATAGTGATCCATTTCAGTAGATTATACACATTAAAAGGTGTGTTCCTTCAGTTCCTGCTTTTCTTCCTTCATGGTAAAATAGGGAGCTGTTTAATGGCTTGCTGGCATTGTTCATCAGTTGCAACATTTCTTTGTGATATAAGGTGCTGGTTTCCTTGCCTCTCTCTGTCTCTGTGTATATATATAAATACTGTGTTCCTTTAGTTGACCTTTTAACAAAAAAAAAGTATGTTCTAAGGCAGTGTTTCATCTCTTAGGATTTAGTTGGAAAACTAAAAGATGCTGCAAAAAGTTTAGAAAGAGCGTCTCAGATGTGACTGAAGGAAGGTGCCAGCCCACCGAGTTGAAGTGCTCTCATTCCTACTCTCATTCCTAGGAGTGTCTTCTAAATGACAAAAGTCTTTCATCTCTTGATGCAAACTCTTCCTTTTTTTTTTTTTTTTTTTTTAAAGTCCTTGAACGCGAATTAAGTGAAATAACTGGGGTTTTATGACCTCACTTGGTATTCCTTGGTTGGTCACTTTTTTTTTATTAACTCGTGTTAAATATTTGGCTACATGACTTGTCTTCAAGGCATTCCTTCCCTTTCATTTTGTATATTTTTTAGAATAGTCACTGATTATTTTTCTCTGGGCTTTAATAAAGTTGATTCGCTCCTGTTCTGCATGCTCTGTGGGTGAATGAGCTGTACCTAACAGTAAGGTGCTAAGCGTTAGACCGGCTCTGTGAGCCCAAAGTCTCGTCCCCCCTTCCCGCTACCGCGGCGCTTTTGCTCCGTTGTCCACAGCGCTTTGTCAGTTCGCCACAACCAGTCTTGAATCCTCTGCAAGAGCGGCGGCTGTACCGGTAACGGAGGCAAAAAGGGCTGTGGAAGCTGCCTGCGGGGCCGGGGCACCCCACGAAAAGCCGCAGCCCGCAGGATCGAGCGGAGCCGGCTGTCGGCTCCAGCCCGACGGCGTCTTCCCGCCCTCGCGGGGCCGCTCAGCGCCCGCCGTCGGGACCGCTGCCGTCCTCTACCGCTCGCCTTGGGCCGCCCCGGTGCCGGTGGCCGCTGCGGAGCACGTCCGCACCTGCAGGAGGGGGCACAGCGGCCCCGCGGAAGAAGCGCGGCGGCGGGCGGGCCCTCGCCCTGCCGCGGCGCCCGGCGTAGAGCGGGGTTCTTCCCGCCCCGCTGCGTCTCTCCCGGGCTGCGGGCGGCGTCTTGTCCGCGGCGGCGGAGAGCACCAGCGACGGTTTCCCCGCTTCCCTCCCGCCCACTGCGGTGGAAGCGCCCGGTGCTCCCCGTCTGTCGGAGGGGGGGGGGGGGGGGGGAACACCCCGGGTGCCCGCGACACCCGCTGCGCCGCCGCTCGGGGAGAGGAAGCCTCGGCGCGGCCCCAGGGGGTCGCGTCCCCCCGACGCCGGCGGCCCCGCCAAGTCCCGGGGCCGCGTGCGGCCGAGGATCAGCAGGCACGAGGCGGCGGGGGCGCGAGGCCGCGGGGCAGTGCCCCTCGGGGGGCTCGGTCCGGGGCGTGCGGGACGTAACAAGTGCTGGGTGGTGGGCGAGGGAGGCGTGCGGGAACAGCGGGTGTGCGGGCAGAGGGGCTGCGGCGAGGAGAGGATAGAGAGGGCAGCGTCGGGCGGGGCGGGGGAGGCACCACGTCGGGTGCGGGGAGCGACGGGGGAGGGTTGGTTTAGGCGCGGGACCTAAGGGGCAGCTCGGGGGGGAGCGATAGGCGGTGAGGGCGCGGACAGGCAGCGGAGGGGCTGAAGGGGATGGGCGGTGCGGGCGGAGGGAGTGCGGGGAAGGAGACATAGGGCTGCTGCGGGCGGAGCGGGAGGGGGGAGAGGCGAGATCGGAATCGGGGCCGGGGGTCTGGGCGGGCGGGAGGCGCGGCGGGGAAAAGGAGGCATCGGCGGCGCGCGGGAGAGCGCGTGCAGGGCCGGGGGGAGGGGAGGGAGGAGAGAGGGAAGGAGGGAGGGAGGGAAGGAGGGAGGGAGGAGAGACAGGGAGAGAGGAGAAGGAGGGGAGGGGGCGGCGGGCGGGGGAGGGGAGTGTAGGGAGGGAGGGAGGGGGGAGGCGGAGGGGGAGGAGGAGGAGGCCGGGTTGCGGGATTGGGTCACGGGGAGGCTGCCGGGCCCCGGCGGCAGCGCCGCTAATTCCCAGGCCGCCCTTAAGGAATGAGGCGCCCCACGTGACGCTGGCGGGGCGGGCGAACTCCGAGCCATTTTGGGGACGGTGTCAGTTTCCAGTGTGTGCCTTCAGCGTTGCATTCTTCCCTCCTCCGCCCTCCTCCCGCCCGCCTGCCCGCCCGCCCTCCTTCCCTCCCCGGGTCCCCGCCACCAACTATGAAATAACAACAACAATAATACTCGTACTAATAACAGCAATAATAAAGAGAGGAACGCGAGCGAGGCCGCGAGGCGGAGCGGGGGGCAGAGGGAGAGACAATGGGCTGGTGGAGAGAGGACCCATCCGGACCGGGGAGACTTTGCGCTCCCAGCGCCTGAGCCGCCGGGGCGGCGAACTCGGAGGGAGAGAGAGCGAGAGGGAGCGAGAAGGGCCGGTGGACGACCGGAGGAAACACGGGTGTTTTGTAACTAAAATGCGCGGAGCGCAGCGGCGGCGGCGGCAATAAGCTTATTGCAATTGACAGCGTCTGCAGTTCGTTTCAAGATGGCCGCTTGGCTCACATTCATTTTCTGCTGAACGACTTTTAACTTTCATTGTCTTTTTTGGCCGCTCCGATCATCACCCACCGGCTCCGTTTTCCGGGTACGTATGAAGCGAGGTGTCGCCTTACCAAGGGCAGGGGGCGAAGGGGGCTCGGCGGCGGTTTTCGGCCGGTTTGGGGGCTGCAAAGGGGAGCCTAGGTGTCCCCCGAGCTCTCCGTATGGGAAAAGCGCTGACAGGCTGCTCCAGCCACACACACACATATAGACACGCAGCAGCAGCAGCAGCAGCCTGTGCACTCGCTCGCGTTGCGCACCCACATTTGCAAATTTTAGTTCCTTTCTTTCTCCACACGCCCCCTAAAACCTTTCTGTGCACATGGCCCCCGAGGAGAATATTTATATTTCCAGACCCTGCTGCCAGCCTGGCCTCAGCGCTCTTTGTTTAAAGGCAGATTTTGATTAAACAGGGACGGTCGTGAAATCTGGAGCTGCCTGGGTCAAGTGATTTCAGTCCTCCCCGAAAGAAATGTGTCTGGGGGAGGTTAAAATGTCAGATAACGCGCCCATTTTATAGAGATAGAGCCAGCGGGGGGTAGCGATCCTCCTGGAGGGGTTGTTAGGCGTCGGGGCGCCAAGCATAAAATGTTATTAACTTAAGTTGGACAAGTACTTGTGTGAAATTGGATGGGTTGTAAGATGGCGGTTCCCAGTTGTTTCCAATGTCTCCTCTTACATTTCTACTCTAAATGCTGAAGTTTGGGGGGTTTTGCCTGCTGGGAGGGGAGAGGGGTGGTCAGCACAGAGAAATAACTTTTCGGGGGGGGCGAGGGTAGCAGTTTGGCTGCGATCTTGGGGAGCTGGGGCGTGCGGTTTGCTGGAGCCTCTGGAGCAAAGGTGATGTGTCTGTGGGACGCAGGGGGGTTTCTGCTTTTCTCTGGTTGGTGTTTTTGGGTTTATCCTGAGCCCGGGCAGGGTAATTTTACATGAAATCCTTTGTCACATCTTGGAGGTGTCACGAGTGGGCTCCTTGTGCTGCTGATGGGCAGCCCTGGAAAGTTGCTGGTGTGTGTTTCTTGGAATTGTGTGGCCTTGGCAATATAGAAAGCAGGATGTTCCTCTGTGTTTACTGCGAATATTTGCAAATAATGAGGTAAAAATAAGCAGAAAAATCGCATTTCTATAGAAGTGAGGTAGTCACTTTTCAGCCTCGAGAAACTTTGGTTCACTCCTCCACTCTCCAGAAAAGTTGAGGAAAACCTGGCCGTGTGTGCCCATTGGCAAGCCTAGTGTGAAAAGGATTTTTTTTCCCCCATTTTTTTTTTAATTATTATTATTTTTGGCGTGGTCTGTAGTGGTCAGAGCAACTTATTTTAGGGGGCTGTCCCGAAGACCAGGGAGATTCTGGAAACAGAGTCCAGTAAAACTACTCTCAGTGCCTCTGTGCAGTGCGTCCTGGAAACTGAGAGACTGGTGCTGCAGTTTGCCAGAGACACGAAGGCTTGACCTATTTGGTCACTTAGACAGTGCAAAATTCACATTTTAGTGTATTTTTAAAGTAGGCAGATCGTGTCCTTCGCCTAGTTCCAGAGAGGCGATTTAGGGGGCTGGGGTCCCTTCACACTCTGTTGCCAATATTCAGAGCTTTCCTCGCTGCTGGAGGGCTGGGCAGATATATTCCAGTTCCGTGTGCCCTCTCTGAAGGAAGCATCATCCCCTCCTTTGAAACATATGGGGCCATTCTGAAGCGAAGGAGTAGTAGCAGGCTCGATAGTAAAAGTGGCTTTGACTGATAGTGAGTGAAGATGCAGAATGACGGCTGCTTTATTCCTGATGTGAAGAGTTTTCCGAGAAGAGACGGGTGCAAAGTACACAGACCTACCTGAGCAATGCTTCTGGGTTTTATGTATGTATTTTCTGTTAGAGACCTGTCGAACGAGGTTTGTTAGCTTATAGCCTTTATAGATTTTTAATAATGTAGCTGATTCCTAGGAGGAGAACGCACCTCTGTTTTTCTTCATTTTGACATAACCCGTTTAAGGCCTCTAAATAATCAGTCGGCTGGCAGTGTTTACTTCTAGCGAGTATTATCTCTGCGTATTTTACGTTTAGTTGTTCCGTGTGTCAGTGTGTAAATATATATTGTTCTGGTTAAGAGGGTGTTTGTATTGACTGGGTGAAGTGTTGGTATTCGCCGTGCTGATTATCAGCACGAGCATTAAAAAAAAACAGCCTGGAAGGGTTTCCCTCGTACCGAACTATTAAGCTCAGGCTGGTGTAGTAAAACGTGCTGCCCTCGTGTTACACACCCGCGGGCACAGACTCGCGTGATCGTGTGCCTGTACGGGTGGCTTTTGGGGAGAAGTTGGGCGCCTGGTTCAGCTCGCTGGGGAAAATCAGTGATTGTAAAGATAGCTCTCAGCACGTTGGAAACGTGCTAACTTTGGGCAATAAATAATTCGCGTTTAGGGGTTGCTTCGACAGAACAGGTTTCACGGTTGAATTTAATCCCCCTCCATTTAGGAAGGGGCGACGCCTGCGTGAAATAAACGCGTTTATGTCTTGAAAGGTTTGTCCCAGTCTGTCAGGGCGGGGAAGGAATTCTCGGTCAGCCGGCTTGCGTGACCTCGGTCACTGCTGGGGTTTTTTGGTTCAGATATTTATGAATTATAAGGTAGTGACTTGAACAAATAAAAAACAGAGCCGTGAAAGCAGCTTGCCCATGTCTAAGTACATAAAGGGACCCCAGAGCCGCTGGCTTCAGGGCGCTGGGCGCTGCAGGGAGGAGCGCAAGAGCCCGGGCTCTGCCTTCTCGGACAAGCAAACCCTCGGCATCGGTTTAGTAGTAAGAAGCGGAGGGTCAGAGACCCTGGAAGCGACATTTAAACCGCAGTACAATGCAGCAGGGGTCTCGCTTTCCCACACTAGGAGCTAGGAGCAGCTCGGGGAACCTGGTCTGGCTCGGAGCTCCTTGCACTTCGCCTCTCCGTGTGCTAGCCGGCTGCATTTTGATTCTGGGGAGTTTTTTCTGCTGCTTGTTCGAGGGTTCACCTGCGGCAGCAAGAGACGTTTCCTGGCTAGGGTCCTTCGTTGGTGCTGTGCACACTTCTTGAGGAATATTGTACCCCTGTCCTGGGCAGTTTGGCCGAAATTCAGAGCTTTCAGAAAGCTGTCTGTGTTGGGGTCGCTTCCCCCCCCCCCCTTTTTCTTTCCTTTTTTCCTTTGCTTAACATCGAAGTTTGCGAGTGGCTGAGGAGCACCCTGCATCCTGAGCCTCCTCCAGCCCACCGGGTGCCGCAGGGAGAAGTGGCTCGTAAGCTCTGCCTCGGGAGGAGTGGGGACCCAGGGCAAGAACCGGTGTGCTGGGAGCACCGGCATGGGGAAATGGAGGTCTTGCGTTGGAGCAGGGCTCTTACGTTACGTTTTTCAGGATCTAGACACAAAATTTACTCTGCAATTGACGTGGCTGACAGGTTTTCTTTTTTTTTTTTTTTTTTTCCCCGGTGTCCTTTCCCCTCTGCCTCTTATTCCCTCTCATTTTGAATAGTATGTGTGCATCTAATGTTGGTGCCAGTGCATCCGATGGGGGTTTATGGGTTTCAGGCTGTGAAAATGACATTTGTTTTTCACTCTTGTCGCTGCATTGTGTTGACAAGGTGTTGATTTAGCTTTAGGAATGATCTGGTCACATGGTCCTTCTCATGTTGTCACTAATGTACCGTTTAAAGTCGGTTTGGGCTTTTCCCCCCACCTCCTTGGTGGGCTTTATTGCTGAAAAGGGGGGTTGTTTAAGGATCCGGAGACTTGTTTTCTCCTGTCCCAACACCTTACACTGGTGCTGCAAATCTCGTTCCACCTCTTGCAAAACTTTGCACCGCGCTCGCTTCGTCCGCGGGAGGCTTTTCAAACGAGAGTCAAAAGAGGGGAGGGAAGGACAGAAAGAGAAAGAGTTGCGGGGTGGGACAGAAAGGAAGGAAGGAAAGAGAGAAAGGAGGGAAGGGGAGAATGGGGAAGAAGGGATGCCGGCGGCGCTGCGCGGGAGCTGGGGCTCGGCACCCCGCTGGCGGTGCGGGGGGCTCGGTCCAGGGAGCGCGGCGCGGCGGAGGGAGGGAGGGAGCGGAGGGGGAGAGGAGCGATCTCAGACCAGCTCCTCGCACCGAGTCGACGTGGAGAGAGGCCCCTGAGAGGATCCGAAATGGCCGAGGCTCGGGAGGAGCCTCTGGCGCTCGCCTCCTCCGGGCTGCGACCCCGAAGCCCGGCTCGGTCCTGGCTGCCCCGCACCGCGCCCCGGCACCCTCCGGGCTGTGGCACCCGGACCCCGCCCGCACCACCCCCGTCCTCCCCGCCCTCCCCCTCCCCTCGCAACCGGGCTCCCAGACCCCCGCGGGCTCCTCGGCTCTTCCACCCCCTCCGCCAGCCCCCGGGCCCCGCGTCCCACCCCCTGGCCCGGCTCGGCTCGGCCCGGCCCGCCCCCCCAGCCCGCCCCCCCGCCCGGCTCTCGTGTGTTCCCAGCGGTGGCAGGATGCCAAGTGTAAGTGTAAGTTGCTATAGCAACCCCCTCGGAGAGCGGAGCAGATCCGGATCGGCACCGAGCAGCAGCGGCAGCCGCCCGGACCCCCCTCGCGGGCCGGCCCCGCCGCCCCGGTGCCCGGCCCCGCTCCGAGGTGCGTGTCCCCCCCTCTGTCCCTCCCCCGCCGCCGCCCCTCCCCGCTCTCCGGAAATGCCAGGGCAGCCGCACCGGGAGGCGCTGGTTCCCCTTTGTGCTGCTCGCCGGCAGCCCGGTGCCCGGCCGGCTCCCCGCTCAGAGCTCCCCTCCGTCCCGCCGCATCGCCGCTGAGCCGCCCGGGGAGCCCGAGCCGGCTGGTGCCCCGCCGCTCCGCGAGGAGAGCCGGTGTCCGCCCAGGAGCGGCGCGGTGGGTGCCGCGGACCGACCGCGCCTCCGCGGGGCTGCGCCCAGGCCGGCCCGAGGCTGTGCGGAGCCGTGCGGGGCACTCCGCCGGCCTCGGGACCAGCCCTCGGCCGCCGCTCGGCCCCGCGCCGCCGCCGCCGCCGTCTTCCGCCGCCTTCCGCGCTTGGTCTTCCCCTGCGCCGGGGGATGCGGCGGCACGGGGGAAGGGGTCGCGTCGGATCTCGGCACCTGGGACGCCGCCGCGCTGGTCCCCGCTGATCGGTCCTCTGTGTGTGTCTGTCTTCCAGAACCGCCCCTCGCCACGCCAAAATGCACCGAACCACCAGAATCAAAATAACGGAGCTAAACCCCCATCTCATGTGCGTGCTCTGCGGCGGGTACTTCATTGATGCAACAACCATCATAGAGTGCCTCCACTCCTGTAAGTACGACCGGGCGCTCCGCGTTGTTCCCTCGCCGCTTCCCACCTTTCCCGGCATCCTGGGAACACCCTCCCCTCTTCCCCTCCAAGCCCAGACCCCCCGAAGTGCTCGGCCCCGCCGCCCGTCCGCAGCACCGGCGGGCCCGGCCGCGGTGCCGTTTTTTCTGACGACGGCTCTACAGTCTTTGTTAAAGTAATAATATATGTACTATAAGCGTCTCCTTTTCATGGTAATTGCAGCTTATTTGGGTATTTGTTTAGCTTAAGCAGCGCGCTGCTGGCAATGGACGGTTTGCTGTAGCTTGCATAGTTTAGAAAATCGCGCCTCGATCTATGCACAGCTGAGTGGCACCTACGGCCATCACTAAAAAAAGCCCTGCTTTCCTGTTTGACTTGCAGTCTGTAAGACCTGTATCGTGCGTTACTTGGAGACCAGCAAGTACTGTCCCATCTGCGATGTCCAAGTTCACAAAACTCGACCACTTTTGAATATAAGGTAGGAGGAAGATGCAGCGTGCACCCTGTTTCTCATATTCCCCTTTATATGGGCAGACCAGCAGTAGTCCTGTCGATGTTATCTCTGTCTGCGATTTAAATCTGAAAAGACTTGTCAATTTACAAGCTAACTCGTGTGTATGCTCTCTCTTTGGAGTGTTGTCATTGATTGAAATTGAAGATTTCTCTGCATGTGAGTCAGAAAGTTTTTTGTTAGTCCTTATTTGCATACGCCAGGCATTGATGCAGTGCCTCTGCCCTCTCTCCCATTCTCATGGGGACCAGCCCGACAGTTTTTACCTCCACTTTCTATGTCTCCCAAACAAGCTTTGCTCCTGCCATAGCCCTAGTCATGTGAACTCTTGCTGAAACTTCCCAAAAGCCTTTAAAGCACGCTCTTCCTTTCAGAACTGTTTTTGCTGTCAGTGTTACTTTCTGCCCTCGTTATGTTTTAGGGAGGAGATGTAGTTTTTAAGGCCTTCCTTCAGACCAGGAGAGTTCTTTTTCAGTTGTGGTAGCAGAGATGAGGTTTGGTTTATAGCGGTATTTAGAGCAGTGTTAGTTTGATTATAAGCTCTTGTAAGTTAACTTTTTAAGATTAGCCTCCCAGTTTGTAGAAGATGCCTCGTTGTGAAAGATTATAAATGACGAGCTGCCACTTGGATTAAAATATCGCTTCATCTGCTTAATTTTATATTTTGAGGTGGTTCTTTTTTTTTTCCCAGGTCAGATAAAACTCTCCAAGATATTGTATACAAGCTAGTACCAGGCCTTTTCAAAAGTAAGTAGCTAAATCGGGCTTTTTGTCAAGAGCAGAAAAGCTAAACCAGAACTGCTGTTCTCTGTCAATGCCAGGAATTACAGAGTAAATACTAAAAGAACAATCTATGCTTTTCCATCTAGATGAAATGAAAAGAAGAAGGGATTTTTATGCTGCTCATCCATCGGCTGATGGTAAAAGCTTCTCATTTTGCACTTCCATAAATGTAGCATTGACCTAGATGCTTTGCTCTTTCCTTTTGACTTACAAATTATGTCATGTACTGTGACATGGTTTTAAGGAGTAAACTCAGCATGATAAAAGTTTATTGTTTTAACAGTTAGGTAGCTTTAATTCATAATCTTACTATGGAGATCTTTTTTCTTCTTTTATTTTTTTCTTGTTATTGAGAATTGCCATTCTTCCTGATTTGAATTTCAAAATGTAAATGATTGTGGAAATTTCTGCGCAGCTGCCAATGGCTCTAATGAAGACAGGGGAGAAGTGGCTGACGAAGACAAAAGAATTATAACAGACGACGAGATAATAAGCTTATCCATTGAATTCTTCGACCAGAATAGGCAAGTTCCAGAATGGTAATATTTTATGTTTGCGTGACTGAGAGCAGCTCTATTTATTATTTGTGGTCATTGTCTCATTTCTTCTCACAGACTGGAACGGAAAGGAAATAAGGAGAAAGAAAAATCAAAGGAAGAGGTAAATAACTTTCCTTTACTCCAGGGGAAGCATAACACACACAAACATTTTTGGGGCATGTTTGGAGCTGAGAAAAAGACCTAGGTACGTGTATCTAGAACATGAGGAGCACACCTCCTGTCATGGCGCTAGGGACAGAAGAGGTAAAACATCTTCATACAGCCATATATGTAAGCAACTTTGTAAAATAAAAAATACCTGCAGTATTAACTTTAAAGCAGAGTATGATTTTTTGTCAAATTCTGCAATAAAATTGTATTTTAAGACATATATAAAAATTAATTTAAAATTTAATATATAATGCATATATGTATATCTCAAGAAGGGATTTATTATGACATACAAATCTTTATGTAAAAAATTATTTGCCTTTTTAATTACTTTCTCTGTCTCTGTGATTTATCGCTTTATTTCTGTTCTTCCTTCTAAGGCAGCAGAAATCGTTATATTAGAGCTTGTCATTAAATAAAGTGCATTTTTCTGAAAGATGACATAAAACGTGAGAATACAATTTTGGTGGGAGTAATGGCTTGTTCTCAGTAGACTGACTTTATCTACCATGCCATTAGGTGAATGACAAAAGATACTTGCGCTGCCCAGCAGCAATGACAGTGATGCATCTAAGAAAGTTCCTGAGGAGTAAAATGGATATACCCAACACTTTCCAGGTACCTCTGGGGAAAGAGGGATTTTTGGTTTTGTAATCAGTCTTGCTATTCTCAGCCCAGTGATGCTGGTGAGCACTCTTTTTCTCATTGCAGCCAGTTCCAGCAAGTATTTCTGGTGTGTGCAATATGTTGATGGGATTATCAACATTATTTTTAAAATATCTATCCAGGCACTTTGGTGACACTCTGTAATTTCTGCATACCGTAAATGTCTAGCTATCAAGAAATTGCTCCTTCACATCTATCTAATAGATATGAAAATTCCCTATTTCCTGCTGAATTTGGAAGAGCTTCCCCCCCTCTGCCCCCAGTTTTCTGATATATGTAACAGTGGGGCTGCATTCACCTCAGAGCGTTCTTATGCTAGGGGTAAATACCTGGGTGCTGTTTCATGTCTTGAACAGATTGATGTGATGTACGAAGAGGAACCTCTGAAGGACTACTACACCCTAATGGATATTGCCTACATCTATACCTGGAGGAGGGTGAGTATCTGACTCCAGTGTACCTCCTCCTGGGGGATGTGGGTCCTGGCCTGGGGAGGGCGCTTACCAGTGTTTGCCCTTTCCCTTGCAGAACGGGCCTCTCCCCCTGAAATACCGGGTCCGACCTACTTGCAAGAGGATGAAGATCAGTCACCAGAGGGAAGGCTTAAATAATAGCGGGGAGCTGGAAAGTGACTCTGGGAGCGACAAGGCGAGCAGCCCAGCGGGAGGCATCCCCTCCACCTCCTCCTGTTTGCCCAGCCCCAGCACACCTGTCCAGTCTCCTCACCCCCAGTTCCCCCACATCTCCAGCACCATGAACGGCACCAGCAGCAGCCCCAGCAGTAACCACCAGTCCTCCTTTACCAACAGAGCACGGAAAACATCGATAAATGGCTCCTCGGCCACTTCATCTGGTTGATGTGCCAACCAGGCTACTACCCCCCTGCCCCTTCTTTATATAGATCTCTCCATGCCATTACAGCTTTATAGATGCTAATCCATGTGACTCTCGTCCAAATTGCTTTCTTTTGTAGTGACACTGAACTTGGCTATAAAAGGACTAAGTGACATTCAGGATGGACGTTAATGGAAACGCAAGATTGAAATGTAAATGGTTTTCAGAGGACTGGGTAGCAAACAAAAGTTACACCTTCACCTTGTTCTGAGTGATACGGAGTTGTTTCCGTCCCCCATCATCTGGACTCGGCAGTCTCCAGAAGTCAATCCAAATCCCAGGAAGTAGTTTGTTAATCCAGACTAACTCCTCCATTGCGTTCTCTTCGATTGTTATTGTTCTTATGCTGTTTCGTGAACCTGTAGAAAGCAAGTGCTTTTTCATCTTGAAATCCAACAAAATGGAAAGAATATGCATAGAATAATGCATATATGTAGCCATGTCACTGTGAATAACAATTTTTGCGTATTAGCCATTTTGATTCTTATGTTGCATCTTTTACTCCTCTGTTGCTGCGCAGAACCGATCAAAAGAAAAGTAAACTTCAGTTTTACAATCTGTATGCCTAAAAGCGGGTATTACCGTTTTATTTACTGACTTGTTTAAATGATTCGCTTTTGTAAGAATCAGATGGCATTATGCTTATTGTACAATGCCATATTGGTATATGACATAACAGGAAACAGTATTGTATGATATATTTATAAATACTATAAAGAAAATATTGTGTTTCATGCACTCATGATATGGTTGTTAAATTTCTAAACTGGTTCGACCCTTGCAGATGCCGCCTGTTCGAGCTTTGCTCATACTGCAAGAAACACTTTGCGTGTGAGAGCTACAGTATTGGGAAAGCACATTTGAGTGTCTGATATAACCAGAAGACAATTGGCAATCTTGAAAGGATTTTACTGGCTTTGTCTTGTTTTTTTTTTTTCTTTTCCAAGTGATATATTTTTACTTTACCAAATGCTGAAGTGATGCAGTGAAGAAAAAAAAGTAAAAAAAAAAAAAAAAAAGTTGATGGACATGGAAGTTTTTGACCTGTTTGGTTACTTTTTTATTATTTGGTGTGGTGGGACTGTGTTTCTAAAAGCACACGGAATCATTAGAGAAGCCATAAACTATTTGGTATAAATTTTATGGAACCAGCAAGTGGCTGGGTGAAGGCATTTTATCTAAATTTGTTTTAATATATATGTATATGGTACAGTACTAACTTCATTAAAATTTAACAGGTACTTTAATATTTCAGATAAATCCTGGAGAATGCCTCCTCTTTAATGGCCTGCAAATAGGTGCATTTTAGGGTATTTTGGTTTTGTTTTTTTTTTCTCAGTAGAAGAAACTTTTCCACCATAAAATCTGAACAGCCCAGAACACTTTTCAGTTTGTGCTTTGCTTTGGTCGAACTTCGTGTGTGTTCATCACCCATCAATTATACATTTGTGAGGGTGTTTATTCTATATGGATATTGTTTCATGTTTGTACGGGAAAATTGTAGTTAAACATTTCATTGTCTCCAGTCTGCAAAAGAAGCACAATTCTTATTGCTTTGTCTTGCTTATAGTCATTAAATCATTACTTTTGCATATAAATTGCTGTTATTTGTCCTGCTTGTTTTTATAGACCAGGTGATTGCAAATCCTCCACAAGGTTCTTGCTTATTGATGTATAATGTCTTGTTAAACAAGAGTTGATATTTTTTCCTGTAGTAAACATGTACAGTTCAATTTCAACAGTAAAAACTTCAGTTTTATATACACGAATAACTTTCATTTATAGCTGATCAAAGAAATAAACAAATAAAAGGGATAATTCATTGAAAAATAGCAAATGACCTCTGTTGGTAATATGGTGTTAAAGGACAAATATCTTGCTCTCATTGGAAGTTATTCTGGGTGTACAAAAGATTTTAGTGACCAAAAGAGCACTAAAATAACAACAAAAAATGCCTAGAAATCGCCCTGATTTGTTTTGGTTGCCTCCCCCGAAAACATTTGCTGTTCTTTATTTGACCCCGACTTATTCCTGAAAATCAGCAAACGGTGTGTTCTCACAGCCCAGTCAGCCACAGGTTTCACCTCCTGTTCCCCCCTGTTAAACTGCACTGCCTTGGAAGGGAAGAATGTGATTTTTCTGATGGCAAGTGCCAGGTTCTTGTGGTGCTCTGGGTTTCTGTTAAAGCCTCAGTGGAAATAAGTCTTAATGTGAAGATATCTCTCTCCATGTCTCTCTTGGCAGTATTCCGTCAACTATATGGGTTAATCACACTGTACTGGTTGAATTAGTTCACCCAAAGACAAGCCCTGAGCCTGCAGCAGAGGCTTGTACGTTAGTACATTGATGAAATCGAGCTTATTTGTACTTGAAGTAGCTGATAATCACAACTTTTAGCATCAAAATGGAACTATTATCGGTCTTTGTAGAGTGTCCGTGAAGCATAAAGCAATGAAAGAGGACTCTGAAAAATTCCTTCCAGGTTTACTGAGTTCTTACAGCAATTTTAGCATCTCCCAGTCTGACATCTCCAGTCCGAAAAAGACCAAACTCTTTTCAGCAGCTCTCGCCGGGCGGCAGGAGCCACCAAGGATGTTTGTGCTGCCATGTGAAACTTTTGTTTTGCTGCTGACACTGGGCAGATGGCACTACGATGCGTCTATATTGCTAAGCCCAATCGGGAGGACGATCAAAGACAGCATCTTGATGTTCTACTTGGGAAGCTACGCTCTCAACCTCCCCTGTTTCACAGGGTTTTCCTTTGCAGCTTCACAGGGAACGGGTTCCCTTACAAATGTACGGAAATCTTCTTTATTTGGAAAGAATTCTCAGGTCAGTATATGTAAGAAGAACCTTTCCATTATCCGACATTGCATTTCTATAGATCGGGAGATAGAGCCGAGTTCTGCTGCGTTTTTTCTAAGCTTTTCACAAGCCATCTGATCAAAGACAGAGTCAGGGGCGGTCTGTGCCCGCTGGAAAATGATGGGTTTCTATCTCGTCCGACACAGTTTTCCGCCCTGGTTGAGGTGCCCGCAGCTCCAGGCAGCGCTTTATGTCGGGCCGGGACGGGGGAGAGGCGGTAACGACCCAGCCCCGGGGAAGGCGAAGGAGGGAGAGCGTGAAGAGCAGCTCGGGCTCCGGGAGAAGGCGGGCAGAGACAGGAGGAATGCAGAGATGTGCAGGAAGAGAACGAGAAGGACCACGACAAGGGGGCCAACCCGAGCTGTTTGTCCCCTGGCGCAGCTCAGAGCAACCTCCGACACCGCCTCACAGAAGGCCGGTGCCGGCGGGCGGGCACCGCCGGGGACCAACCGGGCGCCTCCGGCGTCCCGCGGGCAGGGGACGGGGCAAAGGCGGCGCTCGCAGCGGCGCCGGGGGCCCGGCAGCACAGGGCGGGCTACGGGGAGCTCCACCCGAAGGCGACGTTCTCCGGTTTTCTGCTAATGACGGGGGCAGTGAAACCCGAAGTCAGAGACACAGCGAGCGGCATGCGTCCTCCAGCGGGAGTGATGCTGCTGGTCTTTTCCCCCGGCTGCCGAGGGCCTCCCGCCGGTCACCTCCTCCTCCTCCGGGCAACTGCCCAGGATTCACCCGTTTCACGGGGTATTTTCAAAGCGCGGCCAAAGAAAGTCCTCCCTGGGTCGGTACCGGCTCAAAACCTCTTGTTTTCCACCTCTGTTATCCGTTTTCTTCCTCGCCGCGGCTCCGGACAGCCCGGTCCCCTCGCCCCGGTGGCAGGGAGCTGTACTCCTGCATTCAACACATCACTTCTGGACTGTTCATCTCTCACCACGCAGGAACTCCTGCAGTTCCGATCTTTGCCACAAAACCGGCTCGCGAGGATCGGTTTACTCGCCGTGCCCGGCTCCGGTTCCTAGCCCCGGTGCGGCGCGGGACGAGCAGGTACCGCCGGGGCAGGCGGGAGGCTGTGGCCCCGGGGAGCACCTTACGCCCTCCCGGTTTTAAGACGGTGAAATTCTGAGACAGTGTTTACTCAGATAAGTGTTTCCTGTTTCCGCTGTTAATTTTTAACGTTCTTGTTTCTACTCGGGGTACTTGAAACGGATTTCCTTTATTTTACTATGAACAGTTTCTTTTTCGTGCTTTCTGTCGGTCTCCCATCAGGAGGACGCCTTGAGAAGAACCTGCTCTCCCGCCCGCGGGGCCGCGGGTCTCCGCTCTCCCCGGTTCAAAGTCGTTGTCCCACTCCGAGAGCTCCAAGCCACGGCCGCTTAGTGCTTTATTAATTCAAGAATCGCAAGGCTTCTGGCAGCGAACACTTTTTTCCACCTCCGGCTCCTTCACTCCCTTTCCCCAAGACTAACCGAGAAGCAGAGGAGTCCCACCAGGACAACAGAAAAAACGCTGAAGCCCGGCGGGGACGGGCAGCTTTCGGTCTCAGCGGTTTTGGGGATGGGACATTTGTGTTTATTTAACAGTGATGATGTGGGATTTAAAAAAAAATGGAAAAAGGTCGGTAACGGGTGAAGCACGAAGGACACGTAATTCCCGTGGAAAAAGGAGGTTTTCCCGGCCGGGGGTGGGCAGGGAAACAGGACTTCCACTCCCGGGCTCTACGGCAGAGCCGCGTGCACTCCGGGCAGGACAGCAGCGGCAGCGGAGAGGCCGCGAGTGGCGGCGCCGGGGGCGGGCAGTGGCTCCGGGGTGCGATGGGCCTCGCCGCCGGGACGTGGGGCACCCACCTCCCGCGGAAGGCCGGCGGGGAGCTGCGGTACGACCGCGCTTCGCTGCGCACTGCCTACCAGCGGGGAGGAGGGAGGCGCGGAGCCGTGCCGCTCGGCCCAGACGGAGCCACGGACCGGGCCTGCTCCCCGCCGGTGGTCCCCGCGGACCGCTCCGCTACAGACCCGTCTCCGCGCCCCCCGCCGCCGCCCGGGCAGAGGCCATCTTGCGCCTGCGCAGCTCTCCCGCCTCGCGCCCGCGGAACTTCCCCGCGCACCCCGTTCGAATCTGGCGGCGCGCAGGGACCCCTGGGCGCTCCGCACTGCACCGCGCAACGCCGCGCCCCCCGCGCAGCGCTGCCCCAGCGGCCTCCGCCGACGAGGGAAACCGCGGCCGGGTGCGGCGCCCCTCTTCACCCCCGGGTCGGGCCGGGCCGGGCAGGGGGGGAGGCGGGCACGCCCGGCTGGGTGCACGCCCGGCTGCCACCGCCCTCCGCAGAGGCGTAGCTCCCGCACCGCCCTGCTTTCCCGTCTGCTTTCCCTCCCCCATCCTGCCCCTGGCGTGGGTGCTGAAGCGAGCCCGGATATTTGGGGATGTGCGCAACGCGAAGGGGGCACAGGGACATGACTTTCCAGCATTCCCGCTCCAGCTGCGGGGCGCTGCAATTCCATGTCCCCGCCCGCCCTGCCGCAGGGACCCGGCCTCCCTCTGAGGCCGTCCGGCCCCAGCCTTTCCCCTTGGCATGCTGTGGCCCAGGGGCGCTCCTACACCCTCAACACCCAGTCCGGAGAGGTGACAGGGCCGCGGTAGCCATTTGGCGCCTGTGTTTTCGTGGCACGCAGTGGAGTATCGCACCTCGTCTAGACAAAGGGCTGCATGTTCCCCATCGCCGGGGAAAGGCAGATGCGTTCCCCGCGCCGGTGCTCTCAACGGTGTGGCTGGTGAATATTCCCCAGGGAGAGGCCGGTTGAGGTCTCCCGGTGGCTGGGAGGCACTTTTACAGCAGCGGAGGCGGCCCGCGCCTCTTCCCCATCAGCGCCTGCAGCCGGGCTCCTGCCGCCGGTGTCTTTCGCACGCCGCATCCCCGGCGGCAGAGGCCGAGGTCGGGAGGTGCCGCCCCGCAACCCGGGGCCTCCGCAGAGCGCGGAGCTCCTGGGCGGCCCTTGCTCACTCCTCCCTCGGCATGTGCTGGGGATGCTCGAGAAGTGCCTCGTCGACGAGGCATTCTCTGATCTGTGAGACAACGGCGTTGTGCCAAAGATCCTGCCGTTGTTGGAGGCCTCTGAATTGGACTGACCCTAAATAAAAATACACAGGAAAAAAAAAAAAAAAACAAAACACACCCACAAAACAAAAAATACCCCAAAACAGCCTTGTACACACAAACAAAAAACTTCAAATGGGAAATACGATAAAAAATCCCCAAGCAAACACCAAACCCAACCAAAACAACAACAACAAAAAAAAAAACAACCCAAGGCAGTGGGAAAGCGGTGCTGCAAGGGGAGGTGTTGGTATAGTCAGCGTGTTGGGGTGCTCAGTGAGTGATGCCCCTGAGAGGCAGCACTCGCTGCGCGGGGTGCGGAGCTTGTGCGCACTCTCTGCGGGTTCCCGGAGCCAGTAGCCTTCGGGCAGTGCTGGGCTGCGCAGGGCACGGAGACGCCGCCCGGCCGGCCACCGTGTGCTCTGGTGCCGTCGGCCGGGACGTGTCCCATCCGGAGGGATGGGGTTTGGTCTCCACGCTGGGTGGGCTGGTTACGGAGGGCGAAGGGCTGCGCCTGGATCCTCGGGGAACAGAGGGCTGGGGCTCTGCTCCCGGGCGGGCGGGCAGGGAGAGCCCAGGGGCACGGCAGCAGCGGAGGCCGGCGGAGGCGAGGCAGGCGCTCGGCGCCGAGAGGGATGCCTACAAGCC